CACAAAGAAAAAATATGGAGTAGTTTATGTGTTGATTCTTTTTATCATTGTATTGAGTGTTCATTTTGACATTGTATAGGTTTTGAGTGTGATTTTATCTATTATTTGTGTATGGTGTAGGATTTTCCGAGTTCCTTGTACCTAAACTTAGAGCATTAGGTATGGGCCCGTTGAGATGGTGTTATAACACCTTATAACACCAAGGGGGAAATGGTGTTCATGGTGTTATAACCATGTTATGAGGAGATTAAGTGGAGAAAAATAAAGAGAGAAGAAATGTGCAACGAATCAATGTTCCCGTTTCAATATGTCATAACGCCAACAAGATATGACGTAACACCAAGGGGGAAATGGTGTTCATAGTATTATGACCATGTTATGAGATGTCATATTAGCAAAAATATCACTTTTCGTTGCCCATACCACCTGCCCCTCAATGGTTATATACCCTACATCTCTTTCCCAATTGGGCTGGGCTTTGTTGGTAGACTTAGGCTAGTTAAGAGGCGGAAGTAATTGGTTGTCAATTCTCTAAGAACTGCGTTTGTTATTTTTCTTTAAGGAATGTATTTGTTTTAAATTTTGCAAGTAGTGTTTTGAGTAGTGTATTAGTTCAATCATTTATGTATTTGTATAATGTATTGGTTTAATTATGTATTTTTGTATGAATTGTTGAGAAATTTTAAAGGTTTTATTCATGCGACATATGTATATACAAAATTAATTTAATATGTTAGGAAATGTAAAATTATTAATTTGCTATTCATGGGTCTTTTAAATTAAAAATTGACATATATCTAATATATATTTATGATAAATTAATTCACCACATATAATTGATTATGACATATGTCTCATACTCGTATATACATACGTATATAAATTTATATACATTTAGTGTTGTTATAATATATATATATATATATATATATATATATATATATATATATATAGAGATTAAAAGTGTGAGGGGTTAGCTACGATAGTTGTTCCATTCATTTTCCTCCGTCTGCTGCTTCTCCGACCCTTCCGAGTGTCTCCCAACAGCATCGACTTCCAGTGAAATACGACCTTTCTTCCCCATCACAATCTATCTTCTAAATTACCAGACTAACCTCACTGTTTTTTTCGTCACAGTTCAGACCCAAAACCCTCTCACCACCACCGCTCTATACGTCGTTGCTCTTCGATTATAGGATATCTTACCAACTGCGAAGCCTCCACGAACCCAGCCCCAACTCCATCATCGTCTACTTCTTCCTAACGGAGGCCTGATTTTCATCTATCGTGAGCACCAAAGCATCATCGCCACCTGTTTATGTGTGGACAAACTTCTGTTCTACTTCTCATGTGGGAATCCTCTTCCAATCAACCATCGGTATACTTATCACCATCTACCTCCATAATTGATTTTCTATGTTTTTAGTGACTACATATTGAAGCTCTAACACCATTCAACCCTTAAATCAAAATTCTTCTTCATCTTTGATTAAAAGTCATCAATTGTTTGTGTGTGTTTTTAGTGACCGGAAAAGAACAGTTCACCGCCGTCTCTACTCTAAACTATCGAGGACGAAATAGAGATAGAAAGAGAGCGAAGGTGAGTACAACGTCTTTTCTTTGATTTTGGCTGCCAGGTAAACTATGATTCTCTCCCGATTTTTGCCTTTTTTCAGTACGGAATGGTTTAGTTTAGGTTAAATAGAGTTTTTTTCTAATATTTGAAGGATGGAATAGGTCGTGGCTAAATTTAGGGCCGGTCCTTTGATTTTATGGGCCCGACACGAAACTAAAAAAATGGGCCCCTAAATATATGTTTTTTAGTTATACCAAAAATTCATTAATTATTCCATAATTGCTATAATATGAAGCAAAATAAAAGAACGATAAAACAATGGATAATCTTACACAACTACATGAATCGCGAGACTCTCCTAGCATTCTTGGAAGCAAAATTGTTTACTAAGTCTCCATAATCAATAGTATCTAATATATCATTCTCATAACTATTATCGCCAATCCATTAAGTCTTTCTTGTGACATTGTCTCATAACTATAATCGCCAATCCATTAAGTCTTTCTTGTGACATTGTAGACCGTAAATAGGACTTCAACAACTTAAGTTTTGAAAAACTTCTTTTTGCAGATGCGAACATTACGGGAATAGTCAACAAGATTCTATAGGACATAATTGCATTATGTTGAGAGAAAAACTTGAGTCACACTTGAACAAACGTTAGAACTGGTAATAATGTGGAATAAAGTTTAACTCAAAGGATCATTAAAGCTCAACAACAATCATAAGTTAGAATTAGAAGGTTAGATTGTTAGATACGGAAATATAAGGAAACGTAAATGACAACAAGTATTATATCAAGTATACACGTAAGTTGATACTTAACGAGAATTGCAGTTAGTTCAAGTTAGTGAATGAGATCAAACTTAGTGATGTAGTCTAGAAAGACTTACTCCAAAGAGAGATTCGAATCAGTTAAGACGATATTAAGTGGTGAGTAAGAAGAGAGTAATATGAGAGATAAGAAATAAGATGTGTAAGAGATGTATTTCATTCAGAAAGTGAGAACTCCTTTTATAGAGGCTCAGATGATACAAGGGTCCTATCTGTTTAACGATACCATGTAAGGCACATTGGTTAAAAGAAAATACATTTATAAAACAGATAAAAGACTAGGACAAAAAGCTTGATGACAGAGACTGCGGTTGTTGATATTGGCTGCGGATGAGCCTTGACTGCTGATTGATTGCAGATCAAAAGATGGTTGCGGTTGATAAAGTTAAAGAGGGTGACTTTTATGTTCTAACACATTTGGAAAACAATCAATTTTTTTCATATACTTTAAAACATCAATAAGGCTCATAGCTTCACTCTGTAAGAACATATCAACCAGCTTTAACTCCATATAAAGTTTATGAGAATCTGTATCTGATTGTTCACCAGACATAATGCAGCTTCGAGACGGCTACAACATGACTTGAGATCTTTGTCATCAAATTCGTTCATTTTTTTTGGAAACAAGAAAACAAAAGTATTTTCATACTTGTAGTCAGAGCTTTCAGCCCCTAATGTATTTATAGTTGTATACCTTTTATGGGTTGATATACTTAGTTCGCTATAAACAATGCTCGGATACCAATCTATCACACCCTAAAACAGAACGGCGGAAATATTCAAGGGTGGAGGACTTCATTTGTAGCATCACAACAATGCATAATAGAAACCAAAGTACAACATTTATTACATAAGATTTTAAGTTTACAACTGTGTTTCAAAAAGTATAATGTACAAACATAAATATAAAGAAACTTGACCTTCTATTGGTTTCCTGAAAATACAAGTAATTTTGAAAGGAGTGTCAACAATTAAGTTGGTGAGTTCATAAGTATGTTATATAATTAACTTGTTGTTTGTTCTATGAAATATGTATTTGTTCTTCCAGAAAATCCTACATTTTTTGTTGTATATACATTTGTTTTCAAAAGTAGTATAGTCTTAACCTCCAATAAGACTTTGAAAAATAAGTTAACTCAAAAATTGTATAGTATTCTATACCTATACTAGTAATAAAACTTGTGAAATAGTATTATAGTTTTAATATATTAAAACTATATGAAGTTGTTACTTATTCTTACACCAAACTTATTTATCAATTTCAAAGTTGTGAGTTGTCATAACCATACTTGATGACCTAAGCCTCGCCTGAAACACAACGTTCTTCAGGCGTTGTAATATGGTACGACAATTGTAATCCCAAGCCTGTCGGCTTGACTGTAGCTAACAGTCGAGATGTGGGATTGTCAATCCCATATAGATCTATATACAAGTGTCACGCTCTCCCTCAAGGAGACTCTGGTTATAACTTTCAGGGCTTTTGTTTTATACTTGAATAAGTACTTGAAGTGTGTCTCACAAATACCTTATTGATAATTATGTGTAAAATATTGAAAAGTATCCTTGAAATAGTCATATCATAACTATATTATAAATTATATTTAATATAATTTATATATCTAATTTCATCAGAAACTCTGATTATGTAGTGAGCATATGTATTTCCAAAAAGTATATTAACAAGTTTGTATGAATCATAAATTATACCTATTATAATTTATATGTTTATTGTAGCAAATAGTTCCAAATGAGTGCAATAGTTTATTTATAATAATAATAAAACAAAAGCATGAGTTTTATCATTTACACGACCGGAGTGGACACGGGGAGGCTACTGATGCGAGGTGACGTGGCGGGGTACTGTTAATGCGAAATTATCCGGATTTTTACAATTTTTCTTTATTTTTAAGCCAAAAACTTGTAAAGGTCAATAGTACTTGTTTCCAATGCTACCTTTCTGTCTTAAATTGATCATACCCCACTTTAACAATATGGTAAATTTTCAAATAATAATATTTTTATAAACTAGATTTATGGTATTTTCGCATAAAAAGGAAATTGATTTTTGTAAACATAATATTTAGGCACATATATTCCCCCTCGAAAGAATTAAAATATTAAAAAGGGATTGTACACACTCACCCTTGAAGCGTGGGTTCGAGTTGTTCGAATTCGGATTCTTTTGAGAAACTTGTCATGAGAAACCAGAAATTCACCATTCTTGAACTTTGAAATATTTCCGAGACCGCTTCGTAATGAGTTTAAATTATTGGGGGCTATTTGATAATTTAATGAACCAAAATAGGATTGCTTTGGTTAAAATAAATAAATGGAGGTACTGAAAATGTTTAAATAGGTTTAATGTTTTGAGTCTTGGACTGGTATTGTTAAGAAAAATTTATGGAAGTGACTGTTTTGAATAAATTGGGTCAAGGTTGGGGATTGGCATTGATTTTTAAGATAAATATGACAGTAGGGGGTTCTTTTGTAAATGTATCAAAGTTGAAAGAAAATTAGGGCTTATATGTAAAGAAATATCATGGAGGGCTTATTATGTTAATGGCCAAACTTTAATTAATCTAGGGCTTTTATGCCCCGTCGTCATCAGTTGCTTGATCAAAAGAAGAGTCGTGAACGAAATCGACGACGATTTGAAAGGAACGCGACGGCAGACGAGGGAAACACAAAATCAGGTGAGGGGTCCAATGGTTGCCGATCAATCGCAGGTGGAGGGAGAGATAGGCCGATCCCCGGCGACCTTGTGGTTTAATCGTTGTCATTTGTTTCACCGGGTAAAGAAAAGGAACGAGAATGAAGAAAGCGGACGAGAACGAACAATTGATGGGTCGAAAGGCAGCACGAAGGTTCGTCGCTCGACTCGCCATCGGCGATGGCCTCCGGCGTTCGACTAGACTGAAGAAGCAGAAGGATCAAAGCAGCGAGGTGGCAATGACCTCGGACGAGAAGGAAGAGACGAAGCAGCGGGACTACTCGTCTTCTGTCTTGGAAGTAGTTGCGAAGGGGAAAGAGGTCCGATGGCGGTCTGGGAGGTTTCGCGAGCAGCAGCATCGACGATAACGGGGTTTTCAGTTTGTTTGCTCGACGGGAGGGGAAGAGGAGTGCGAGGGTTCGGTGTGTCTGCTGCTTCGATCGGTATCAAGTTCTATCTTTTTTTTAGATTTTTTTTTCTTTTTTTTTTTTGTTTGATAGAAATCATTGGGATGTTTGGGTTTTCCTGGAAAATCGATGATAATGAAGGGGATATTGGTTTGATTTTTGACAGAAATCCATGTGTGTTTGGATTGGGTGTTTGAGCTTTGGTATTTGACAGGGAAAATGAAGAATATCAGTGTTCTTCTCTTTGTTGATGAAGTTTGATCTTGGTTGGATACGAAGGAGACAGAAAGAAGAAATATGGAGTAGTTTGCGAGTTGATTCTTGAGTGTTCATTTTGACATTGTACAGGTTTTTAGTGTGGTTTTGTCTATTGTTTGTGTATGGTGTAGGATTATCCGAGTCCCTTGTATGTAAACTTAGGCGAGTTTTTTTTTTTTTTTTTTTTTTTTTAAACGGCGAATACCATGTGGAAGCCTTCCGGCTTTTTTCAGCGGAAGTCCGGGTTCGAGCTCATTTAACGTGCAAACCCTTATCCTTTTTTAATGGGATTCCAATGGGTGTCGAACTTCCCACCTGTCCCTCAATGGTTATTAACCCTACACCTCTTTCCCAACTGGGCTGAGTTTCGTTGGTACACTTAGGCTAGTTAAAAGGCGGAAGTAATTGGTTGTCAATTCTTTATGAAATGCATTTTTTTTCTTTAAGGAATGTATTTCTTTTAAATTTGCAAGTAGTGTTTTGTGTAGTGTATTAGTTCAATCATTTATGTCTTTTGTGTAATGTATTGGTTTAATTATGAATTTGTGTATGAATTGTTAAGAAATTTTATTAGTTTTATTCATGCGATATACGTATATATAAAAAATTAAATTAATACGTTAAGAAATGTAAAATTATTAATTTGTTAAACATTGATTTTTTAAATTAAAAATTGACATATATCTAATATATATGTATGAAAAATCAATTCACCACATATAATTGATTATGACATATATCTCATACTTGTATATACATACGTATATAAATTTATATACATTTGTTGTTATAATTTTTATTTATTATATAACTTAATATATATATATATATATATATATATATATATATATATATATATATGTATATATATATATATATATATATATATATATATATAAAGTTTGAGGGGTTAGCTACGATAGTTGTTCCATTCATTTT